CGCGCACGGTGCGCGCGTCCTGTGCTCACGACTATGGCGACCCATCAGAGAGCAGCAAAATCATGCAGGGCCTGTGTATCGTGCATGATCGTTCACATATATTTTTCTACATTCCAAATTTGGCTATGAGTTCTTCACCAAAGTTGAATCTAACGAAGTCTTCTATCAACCAAAATTTGAATCACATAATTTTGAACACCTAATCAAAAGATATGAATGAAATGGAGAAAGGTATCATCCTAAAATTCCAATAATTATTATCAGACTTCCTCACTTGGTTTCATCTTGATCATTTCATATTCTTCCCATGGTGTCTTCAGGTGATTTGTAGCTCATTGAGTTGGCTTTCGTATGAAACTGAGCGGTGATCCAAATAGCTCATCATGATTTTACATTGCGAGTTGGGCGGTAATCCAAATAGTCGTTTTCAAGCTAAAACTCTCCTTGTTAATCTCCAAAAGTCCATCTAGAGTTATTTTTCATTTAAAACATGATAATGTCATCCAAAAATACAAATAGTGGGGGAAAACATGATAAACCAAATTTTAACACAATATTGCAAGGAATTACGCGAGAATGTATAAATGACTTTCCACAACAAGTTAAAGTGTATTGAAATACGGACTTATCACTGACATCACCCCACACTACCATGACGTCATTATGTAGGTTCAACAAGTATTTAAGGAACACTTCTCACCATCTCATTGACTAGCTTTTTGGTCTTAAAGCCCAACCCTTGTATTTTTACAAGGGTAACTTAAAGTCCCCCATACAAGTCCATCCCTCTCATAGAAGCCCGTTTAAATATCGAACTAAGCAGTGCTAGCAGCTTGTAATTGTGAAACACCCTTCTCTTATTTTGTTGGGACACCCCACGAATTTGACAACCAAGGAAGGTTGATTGAGTGAAAAGAAGGCTGGAGGACACTTGAAGGGATGGGGGAGACCAATTTTGACATCCAAGGGATCTCTCTCACACTCATTTGTCAAATGAGACAAAAGGAAACTCATCCCCCTTTAACTCATCATTGTAACTCGTCCAATCCACCAAAAGTGAGAGAAGAAGCTTTGCAAACTCTACCTCCATTGCTACAATTCGAGCTCAATTAAAGGTAGTCCAAAGAGAGAGTTTAAAGGAGTAAAAAGTGAGGAAAAGTGTGAAGAATTGAGATAATAACCTTATAACAACTTTTTCTCTACTCATCATTTATCAAATGATCTATATATCATATGAAGGACGGAATTAGAAGCCAAAGTGACCGGCTCGTCAGAAAATAACCTTTTAGAGGTTATTTGTATTAGTATGGGTTTTGGGATGTTAAAACCTTGTTAGGAACTTGTCTAAGGTGTTCCTAGAACTTTCACAGAGTTGAAAGAGTTATCGAAGGTATCACCGGATTTCAACAAAGTTCGCCGGAGGTTTGCCGGAGTTCAACCGAGAAGAGTAGAACTTCTTACAGCTCATTCGAGGTGAGTGGATGACTTAATGTCTTATAGATCTTGGATTAAGTATGAGATTACCTAAAGAAATGTTTTATATATTCATAATGATGTTTAAAAGAGTTTAAGCATGCGATCAGCCAATGTGATTAGGCTTATGTGAACTAAAATGGTATATTGAGCAATGGTATATTAAGCATGTAATTGAATCAAAATGCATATAAAACATATGTGATATTTTGAATGGCCAAAATGTCATATATTGATTGTTTAAGACTTACTACATATTGTGTATAAGTTTCAGAGCAATCGAAGCCCATTCAGGGGATCAACAGGTCGTTGACCCAGGAAGAAGGGGGACCGATGCCGGCCAAGTGCCTGAACCGGTGCCGGTTTGATCACTGTTATGAACGGTTCAGGAAATTTATCATGAACCGGTGCCGGTCAGGCGTTGAACCGGTGCCGGTTCGGCTACGGGTTTTTGATAAAACTCGTTTCGGGGCTCGGTTCAAGGTAGAACCAGCCCCGACCATCCTATATATGTATATTTTGCATGCAATTGCCTAGAATATGATGTTTAAATGTTAAGACTTGACATATGATGATTAAATGCTAAGACTTGGATTAGTCGTTAGTAATGATATGATATAGACCATAATCGGGTACGATATCATAGGTTCGGGTGGAGTATCCAAGGACCGGGCGGTGTCCTCAAAACTCATTTATTAAGAGTGGAGCACCCAGGGACCAGGCGGTGTCCTCAAAACTCAGATATTAGGGGTGAAGTACCCAAGATTAGGCGATGTCCTAAAACTTGTTATTATCGGGAGAGTGGCCCATTGGCCGAGTAAGGCTATCAACACTCGATGATATAATGAACCCTAGGTTATAGCGGGGAAGGTAAACAATGGGTCGGATATGGGGAAAGTCAAGGACTAAGTCCACCATTATTTTATTGATTTGATCAAATGACCCGCCAGTTGGATATTTTCCAAGCGTATATACATGTATGTATTTCAAAGACGGGGGGGGGGGGGGGGGGGGTATAAACATATGTATCACCCTATGTTTGGGTCTTATACTTGAAATGTTAGTTATTCTACATTTAGCCTGCTACCCGCCAGTATTCACGTACTACCCCTTTAGGGGCCCACAATCTCAGGTTGAAGCTAGAGCTTGCTACATGTCTGTACCTTTGAACAGGGTGAAGTGATCTCAAGGAAGTCGTGATTCGTGCTTCCTTTACTATTTGAAACTATAAACTATGCTCATAGATTTTTTTAACGAATACTTTGTTTTGGGCCTGCGAACCCACGTTTTGCCATGTGGCCAATGGTGGACTATTGAATATTTTTGCTATTCATTCTATCTAATGTGATGTTATATATGTTTACTTACTGACTATGGTATGAACTATGTTCATGGACGCCTTGTACAATCGAGTGAGTGTGACTTGTGGGTGACGTCACTTGATTGTACGGCGGTTATACACGCGTAAATGTTTCTAGATAGTCATAATAGCTCGTTAATCTCCTGGCGTGCCTGTCATTCACCATGTAAATTTTTGTGTCAATGTATTGCGAATTTATCTCGGTAACACCCAAATCAGCGCCGCCAGCCCATCCCTTGGCTAAACCTCTTCTCAACCCTATTGCTTCATGCGTTGCAATTAGGAGTCGGCACGGTCCGGGACAGAACGGGAATTGGGTGATCCCAGTACCGAACCCGTTTTATAATAATGGTTCAGAACGGGACGGGACAAGACATTGTCCTTTTGTTGTCCCATTTAAACCGGTACCGGAACAAAACGGGACGGTTCGGGACATCCCAAAAAATGTAGTGAAAAAATTGCAATCCCAAAAAGAAAGCTAAGCTATTTCAAAAAATTTAAAAAAAAAAATAGTGTAAGAAAACTCTATGACAAAAAAACACTATAGCTAATCTAGAAAATTATGAGAAAAAATACAACTTATCATATTAGTTGCATGAAACAAAAGTTGCAACAAAAAAAAACTCTTAAACAAAAATCTATCAAGAAATCTGTAAAAAAAAGTGACAAAAGCAATTTATCTTGAATTTCTCTTTTGCAGATAGATGATAGTTCATAGTATGTGATACTAGGTAATTTAGAGTTTTTAGGTGTTTTATTGTTAAACTAGTATTTTAATAATCATTTTGTATTTCAGCTGTGAAAAATAGATAAAGTAATTATTATTATTTGAATTACTCAATGAGTTGTTGGTAGACTCACTAACCTAATATATAAAGTACAATTTTGGATTCGGGACAACGGGACGGAACATGATATATTTTACTGGTCCCGGTTCCGTTTTGTTTTAAAACGGTTCGGCCGTTCGGGACCGGTACATGACAAAAATAATGTGTCCCAAATATAACGGGACAATTTCGAAACGGAACTGGAACGGACCAACGGGACCGGGTCTTTTGCCCACCCCTAATTGCAATAGGAAAATTCTTGGTGTACACGTTCTTATACACACCAATACACCTCCGTGTCTGTGAGAGATTTCCTTTGTCTGTGAATCCTAGTTGATAGACAAAACCGACTTGTTTTGTCTGTGAAAAATTCTACAGACAAAACAAGCTAGTTTTTGTCTGTCGATTGGGATTCACAAACACAAAAAAACTCTCAGAGTTTGTGTATATATTAAATACTCCGTATCGGCTTTTTAAAAAAATATACTAATAAAAAAGCTATGAACAAAATGTAGGTTAGTTACCTTTAATGGCTACAATTATTTTCAATGTTTACGTCATAATAACTAAAGTATACGTAGTATTAACTTTTTTTTGATCGTATACGTAGTACTTCCTCCGTTCCATAATTCTTGCAACATTGTGATTTTTACACTATTCACATATCTTACTTTGACCATGATTTTCTACTAATATACATAATCAAATTATTACGTATAAAATGTTATTGAACTCTTATCAATGTGAATTTCCAAAATATCAACTTTTTGTAATGTTTACTAATACATAATTAAATATAATTATAGTCAAAGTTGTGCATTGGCAAGCGTAAAAGTCAAATTGTTGCAAGAATTATGGAACATAGGATAATATTAACTTTGAAAATTACAAGTCATATTTTTATTCATTACTTTTGCATGAATTTTTATTTATAATTACTTTTACATGAATAATACTAGTGAGATTTAAAAAAAAGACAACATAACTCGTAACTTGTTTTTTTAGAAATTAGAGCTAATCGGAAATTGTTTTACTGCATCGCTGAAGTAATGCACGAATCATCGAGGGGCAGAGTCAAGATAAAAGTAATTCCAGTCTCTGGCAGTCCAAACGAGCCTTAAAAGTAGAGCGGGCAAACAGTAAAAACCAGCCTCAAGGGTTTAGGTAAATAAATAAATCCGCACCCGAGATAAAAATTTCGGGTTCTCTTGATTTACCCCTACTCACCGTTTTCTCCGTTTAAAGCAGTTGCTAGACGGCCGTTAGTGGGGCCGTTATGTGACTGCAGCCGCAGAGGGCTATATAAACAGGCCGTTACGTTGGGCTTAGTGCTTCGTCTTCTCAGCTTCTTTCTCCGGCTAGTTATCTCTGTTCTACATTTCTTTCATTCTCCCCCTCCCTCTCTCTAAACCTCTGTTTTCAGATCTGCCGAGCTCTACAGAGAGAAATAAGAGCTCAGATTTGTCTGCAATGGCGGTTTCAAGGAAGTGGGTTACCATGGCTTTGACTTCTGTGATGCTTTTCTTGGTCCTCGTCGGCGTTGCTGCCCGAGTCCAGAAAACCGAAGTCTCTGAGTCTAGGTTCGATTTCTCTCCCCGGAGATCTACTCACCTTTGTTTCTCTACACCGAATCTTCGAGTTTCCAGTTCAATAGAAGCATAAGTTATTAACCGCGTTTTGAGATACTCCGTATTCCATACGGAGTATTTCTCTGCATAAATTCAAGGATTTTTAAGCTTTTTTCTTCATATAAGTTAATTTCCGCTGTTTTGGAAAATAGAGAGCCGCATTATGCTTCTTCGGAGATCTTCCTCTCCTCTGTTCATCCGCTTATTTTAGATTGTGTTTTGATTTATTTGGATTTGCCAGAGCTGGAGAGAATGAAGATTTGCAGACTCCGAAGAACTCGACAATGGCGGCCAGGTAATGACTCGTACTCGTTAGTTGTAAATGAGCTATTAACTCGGAATATTTACCCTACCGCCTCTGTTTATTCGTCTGAATCGCCGAGTCAACCCAGTGAGGCGATTTCAGTTTTTTCCTCTGATGCCGTTAGTGGTTGCAGTGAATCTCAGCGGTCCGTTGTGTTTTCGTCCCAAAAATATTCGTTCAATGCCTACCGTCCGATTCTCTCTTATCCAGTAGCTGGGTGAGTGCTCCTATCCGAAGGAGTAATTTCCGCCGCTGAGATTCTCAGATCTCAACCGTTTAATCCGTTAAACCCTACACATTGGATTCCTGTGCTCTGCAAAGGCAAATCTTCATTGGTTCTTTCACCGCACCTCTTTTTTCACGTGTACTTCCAGAACTACCCCTCCCTCTGCTAAATTCCACTCAATATCTCCTTTAACTGAAAACCCACATGCATCATTTCTCTCTCTTCACTCTCTCTCTAAAACCTCAACTTTTAGAAAACCCATTTCTATGGAATCATTCATCTGCTTGGAGCTGTACTTTTGTTGCGTGAAAAATGGATAAATGTCTGTTGCCCAGATCTTGCTTAATTTCCAAGAATGCCCTTCTTTGTTTCACCAAATGATTTAGGGAATTAGGGTTAATTTTACTTCTGTATTTATGGTTCAGGCTGGCAGAGATGGAGGAAGCTTTGAGCAAGCATGCAGTGGCTGACCCGGAAGAGGTTGCCACCATAGTTGCAGAGTGGGTGCCTCTGTTCTTCGTGTTCTGCCATTTTCGTTGTGTTTTAATTCTTGCATTTACTTATGATAAGCGTTTTTCTTTGTTCACATTTTAAATCTTTTTGCATTTATTATACGTTTTTCTTGTGGTCCTTGTTGGAAAGTGGAAACCACTCATGTGACGTACCTACTGCACCGAAACCTGAAGCCCCAAAACGCATGTAGACACCTACCCTCAAACAGTGAAGAGTGAAAAAACAAAACTCAAGGACTAAATAAACAATATAAATAGAAAAAGATTCAACAAATCCAATTACAAATAATTTGATGTTGCTTTGTATCCTTTAATTAATTAATACTGCCGAGCTTTGTCTGAATATTGTTATTGAGGTAGTTTTGTTTGGTAATAGGATATTTGTGCCACTGTTACGCAATTTCTAGACTCTAGTGCGCTCTATGTTGCCAAACAGATCATTAGCCATAAAATATTTGTTAAATGTTGCTCTGTTTCCATGATGTGTCTACTAGTTCGGCCAGTCAACATGCACGTTCTGTCAGATCTGTTCCGAGCAGTAAATTTTGCTATTCTATTTTTGCATATCCTACTATCTATTCTCATGTGCAATAGCCATTAAGTAATATTAATACACATGTATTCCATTTCTGTAGTGCAATAGCTGTTTCTTAAATGTGGTAATATTTTTCTATAAAAAGTAATTAGTTGACTATCTTTTTATAATTGGAAAGTTTGGCCCTTTGCAAGAAGAAGAAGTTTACCCAAGTCTTTTCTTTCCATGGACACCTTAGCAACACGTAACAAACACTTTTATTATATGATATTGATTGACTAGAAAAATATAAATTATCCTGTTGGTTTGACAATGATTTAGCAAGATCTGAAGTGTAAATGTTCAACATGAGTTTATATCCATGAAGACTTTTTCAGATTAACTGATTGAGATATTGGGTTTTATTTACAGGACCATCAGAAACAGCACTGAGAGGCGAAAACTGGGATACTTTTCATGCGGGACTGGTAATCCCATAGACGATTGCTGGCGATGTGATCCAAATTGGATCAACAACCGCAAGCAGCTTGCTGAGTGTGCTATAGGGTTTGGGCGCAATGCTATTGGAGGGCGTGATGGGAAATACTACGTCGTCACAGATCCTAATGATGATGACCCGGTGACCCCCACGCCAGGCACTCTCCGCCATGCTGTCATCCAGGATGAACCTCTGTGGATTGTGTTCAAACGTGACATGGTCATAACATTGAAGCAGGAGCTAATCATGAACAGCTTCAAGACGATTGATGCTCGAGGGGCCAATGTTCACATTGCCAATGGTGCATGTATCACCATCCAGTACGTCACCAACATCATCATACACGGGCTCCATATTCATGACTGCGTACCCACTGGAAATGCTATGGTGAGGAGCTCCCCATCCCATTTCGGATGGAGGACGATGGCTGATGGTGACGGAATCTCCCTCTTCGGGGCAAGCCACATATGGGTGGACCACAACTCGCTGAGTCACTGCGCAGATGGACTTGTTGATGCTGTCATGGGCTCAACCGCAATCACCATCTCCAACAACCACTTCGCCCACCACAATGAGGTGATGCTGTTGGGCCATAGTGACTCATACACAAGAGATCAGCAAATGCAAGTGACCATCGCCTTTAACCACTTTGGGGAAGGTCTGATCCAGAGGATGCCAAGGTGCAGGCACGGCTACTTCCATGTGGTCAACAATGACTACACCCACTGGGAGATGTATGCTATTGGTGGGAGTGCAAACCCAACCATCAATAGCCAAGGAAACAGATACCTTGCTCCACAGAATGGATTTGCCAAGGAGGTGACGAAAAGGGTTGACACACCAGAGGATAAGTGGAAGGGTTGGAACTGGAGGTCAGATGGGGACTTGATGCTGAATGGGGCTTATTTCACTCGATCTGGAGCTGGTGCTTCAGCTAGCTATGCAAAAGCTTCGAGCTTAAGTGCCAAGCCCTCATCTATGATCCGTGCTCTCACTCAAAATGCTGGTCCTTTAGGTTGCCGTAAGGGCAAATCTTGCTAGCCAGCAACACCCTATCCTGTGACTCATCATACACAACAAATATGAAAACATAGTCTCTCCTTTTCTTTCTTCATCCTAGCTTTCTATCTGCTATAGTTATCCTATCTGACCATTACTATGAACAAACTACCTATGTCATACTTAATACCCATGTGTCCTTTGATCAAAGTAATCCGTCTGTAAGCCCACCCATACAAACCACCACCACCATTGGCCAGTGTACATTTTTTGCACTTAGCCAGATTCTAAAGTTGCGCAACCTCGGCCTGATTCTACCAAATGAAGTGTATGCTATTGTTTGTGGGATGCGGGTGCGGAAGCGTTGTCATCTCATCCCTTTTTAGTAGTTTTATCTTACATTTTCAGTGTTTCGTCTGCTCTAAATATTGTGATTGGATTCTAAGTTTAGTGAAATTGAAGAATGATTTTCTAAGTTCTGTTTTTTTCTTTTTTTAAGTAGCCTTTCTGTGACTTATTATTGAGCACCTGAGTCTTCAATCTTCATAGGATCTTCCTTACACATACACTGTGAATGTCAACTGTTCTATTGGTGTAAAAGAAATTACAGTACTTTGTGATTGAGAGAATGAAGCCAAATTACTTTAATTGTCACCATTTAAAAGTAAAATGTACTTAAATGGTTATCCTGCACAATTACTACTTGAGAGCAAAAGATAGTGCATGACATTAAATGCTTCATCATTCGGGTTGTTAAAAGTTTAAGCCGTGGGAAACATATAAAAAGATGTTATAATATGTAATAATGTTCACTCCTTGCAGTCTTGCACAATCCTTGCTAATAGTAAAACATAACGCCTCTGTGTGAACTGAAGCCACGTCTGAACTCGCTGGTTTTGAAATCAAACCCAATGACTGGTTCAACCGGCTGACCTAGGAACAAGAAGTTTGAAATGAGCAACCCTTTGGGTGAAAAAGAGAGCCTCTCACATGCAAATTATCATACTTCAAAGGAAAAACATTGGAATACCAAAAATGTATTCATCCCGACATGCAAAGTAAAGAGAAGTAACTTGAATCATACATTTTACTACCTCCATTCTAAAATAAAGGCAACATATTGAATTTTTTACACTACTCACATGTTGTACTTTGACTACGTTTTACTTATTAATGTATTAATATTTTTTTATGAAAAAATATTGTTAAAATTGTCTCATTGTGAATTTTAAAAATCCAATTTTTTTTAATGTTTTTACTAATACAGAATTATATATATTAATGGTCAAAGTTGTGTCTCGGAAAAAATATGAAATGTTGACCATTGCATTTATTTAAGAACGGAGGAAGTACGTTACTCCTTATAAAGTAAGGTATGCAAACATATTGTTACCAACTATTGGAATTTGGAACAAAAAAAAAACAAATGTTCCATCATCAACTATTGGAAGAAACCACCCATAAACCACCACAAGGTTAACCTCGCATCTCGTAACCTCAAACCAAACTTTATTCGCTCGGCCTCTCTGATAAGGGATGACAAAGGAAACTACATCTGCCATAGGACTTATTTATCAAGACAAACCAATACTACAATTGCCTCCTATGAAGCACTCAGTGATCTCCTCAACACACCGGATGGGTCAAATCTTCTTCTGGAAGTTGTTAGTAAGGAATTCTATGAGGGAATCATGGGCATCTCCATGCAACATTGGACTCTTTGGCCTCATACTCAATCAATACGAAAAAAAACTCAACCGGTTCCTTTGGACCATCACATACATCCATCCCCAGATTAAGAGAGTTGCGGACTTGCTTACAAGAGCATCTCTATTAAAACCACTAATCATCATTTTAGTCATTTTGTTGGGATTCTTAAGTTTGATGCGACTAGCCTTCCTTATGTACTTTAATTTGAGCAGCCTTCGGTATAGTCCACCTACTCTTTTGTATTTTCATTACTTTTAATAAATTGGTAGGGTGTTCCCTGGCCCCTACCCCAAAAGACTTTCTGGTCATTTGGTTTCAAACCGGGGTTAAAAAAATGCAATCATATTGTTAGTACTACTATGATTGTTATAATTTGAAAAATGATCAAATACACCATTTTACAATTGCAAAACGATCACTTAAACCCATGTACATTAAAAACATCATATAAACCTATCTACTATAAAAATAAGTCAATTAAACCAAAATACCTAAAGGTAACCTACAATAGGAGGTCATCCTCACGGACCTCACCTTTTCTCTCTCATAATTATTATTACGAGTATTTTATTTTTCTTTTGTGTTGCTCTTATTTAATACGGAGTAGTAGATTACTCCATATTAACCAGCACAATACAAAAGAAAAACAAAATATCAATGATAATTATGAGAGATAAAAAGTGAGGATGACCTCCTATTATAGGTTATCTTCAGGTGATTTGACTCAATTGACTTATTTTTTTTAGAGTAGACGAGTTTATATGATGCTTTTTTATAGTACATGAGTTTAAGTGATCCTTTTGTAATTGTAGAAGAGTGTATTTGACCTTTTTTCCTTATGATTAATTGAAACTACTATAAAAACAAGAGAAGCAAATAGTCATGGATAATTATAATATGAGATCCTTCCGGTGGAGCTAAGAGAATTCCTACCACTGTGTTTTTTATTGGTACTGGAGTTACCTTTTGGTTGGGCATTACATTTTTTATTCCATTAAAAGAAACAAAAATTAACGAGAATTTTTTATTTGAATTAAAAAGATTTACTCATTAGGAATAAGTAATTCGTGAAGGGTTGAGATCCCCTAAATATTGGGTTGCTGTTGTTGAACTTGGTCGGATCCGATGAGGGTGGATATATAGGATCATAGGAAAGAAAAATATTTGAGGTGAAAACATTTTTTCACTTGACTTAAAGGTGGGGGATCAAATTAGATACAAGTAGCTAAAATGGTTGGTCTTGGTTGACATTCGATGTTCTGAGAAATAATTTTCATTTCATAACAAATACTATAATTGTTTGTCCAATCCCCGGAAGTTGAGACAATCAAATTTTAGTAGAATAATTTTATTAGCTCCTAAGGAAAGTTCAGAGAGTTTTGGTGATTTATCTAACTCGTTAGAAGCATATATATGTATTGAATATTTTTTCTTCGCACTCCGGTTAATTGGCAATAATTTTCGTTTGGACTTTGGGGAAGCGACATAGTAATAACAATAATAATTGATTTTTTTTGTATTTGTTTCTAAATCTATTATAGTATTTAAACTCAAGTTAGGATGTTTTTACTTGGACTGTAATTCGTCCAAGATCAGACCAGACTTAGATAGTTATAAAAACACAAAGAAATCAGACATTATCAGATCTGACCAGATCAAGAAAAATTTGAGTCTAAGTAAAAACATCCTTAATATCAACATCATTGAGCCACATTATTTGGCTAATATTAAAATTTTAAGAGCAATAATAAAATTAATAATAGTGATAGTGGTAATAATTATAATAATAATTCCTTCGAATAACAAGGACAACAACAATAAATAAGACATACTCCGTACTTCGTATATAGTACTCACATCATCATAAAATTACGTTTAACATAGATTCAAACCAAGCTATAAAAACGTACTCCGTAGTTTATATCAGAAAAGCTTAAATCTGATTAGGGAAATCTAATCAGATGATATTACATCAGATAAAAACAAATTCGAACTAAATTAAATTTGGAAAGTTCTAAAACAACCACAATAAGAAAACAAAAAAAAAACATGCAGACGAGAATACGAGATGAACTAAAAAACTTCTGATAAAGAACACGGCTAGATACCCTTTAAAATTAATATTACTGAAGACTGATAATTATAATTGCAGATCGATGCATAAATACTGACACAATTTTTTACCAAAAGAATATAGTTTCAAAATACAAGTCAAAACTTAATTTTCGAATATAAAATTGATCATGACCTGGAATTCCTTTACTAGGTACGTATCAAATAGAAAAATCATGATCTTGAATTATGGGCCGAAAATGAGGAAGCCAGAGAAATATTTAATGGTACAATGTACAATAAAACAAACTTGTGAGGGGATGGGGACAAAGGCACTCTCAGGTAAATGGAGATCCGACTTTGGAGGAAATTACACCGACTAATTAACTACAAAGTTGGGATTTAAACACGGTCTTAAAGATTTCGTTCGGCATCTTTTTGAGCCCTTTTAAACTAGAAACAAACATGTTGAATCTAGAAAAAGTTACTTTTAGAGCCCATTTGGTATCCAAAGTGGTTGCATTGGCATTTTTGTTGAAATATATGGAATTATAGCTGAAGTGTTTTGATATATATAAAAAATTATTTAAAATATATTTTATTCATAATATATAGACAAAATTATATGAAAAACAGCTAAAATAATTATTTACATTAGCTTTAGCCAATACAGTAGAAAAGTAACTACAATCTTACTTTTTTATACTACAAACCAATTCAACACATTAAATTAAAAGTTAAGCGTTTATTGGTGAAAACTTGGCTGATAAACCGACATACAGGTCACCAAATGAGCTCTTAGAGTCCGTTTGGTAACACTGAAATTGAATGAATTGACCGATTCTGCTAAATTATACGTAGTATGAGGTTCTGGCTAAATTGATTGGATTGACTGATTCTGCTTATTTATGAAAAATCATATGTAATATACAGAGTATTTTTATAATAAAATAAAGAAAAGATTATATTACAAATAACTAATATGATCTTATAACAGCCAGAAAAGTAACAACAATCAGAAAATTAACACAATTTTCAGAAAAGTAACAACAATCATATTTTTTCATTATAACACAATTTCATGTGCAATATAAAAAATTACGTGTATGATGAAAAATATGTTGATAAATTGAAAATTAGGGTCATCAATCGAGCTTTTAGTGTTTTATTGGCAGGTTTCGAACCAAGATGATTATCATGAGGATGATTATCTTTTAGTTCATTATATAATCTATAGTTATCTTTTGGTTCATTGGGCCAGAATATAATAGCTGGCTACGTACTTCGCAATGTATAGAAATGGTGTCAAAAAAGCAATGTATTGCGTACAGAGATAAAGTTTGCGAGTGTCTTTCCTTCAAAAAAAAAAGTTTGCGATGTCCCCCCATGTTTGGTGCCATCAATTAGCTAAATAGTTCTGTTTTTTTGCGGGCAGATACAAGCAAAATAAATAAAATAAAGCTGAAAATGTAACTTAGATATGTGTTTTTAATTTGGCTAGATCAATATTACCAACAATTTTCCTTCTACAAATTTCAATCAATAGTCACTCTAGAGTCTAGACTTATACAATTTCAATTTTCTTTATAAAATACGTTTACCGCCGAATGTTCCTGTCCCAGTTTGGCGTGTTCTTATTGATTTCAATCCTGTTTCATACTATGTATAATTATATCTGCCTCAAAACGTGAAAGGGGATCATTGAAATGTGAACGATATAGGGTCTCAAGTCAATTTTACGGGATCATAAGCTTATTTTTCCAACTAACGGGAAAGATTTTTGGAAACTTTTTAATAATCGTTATCTTTTAGAGACAGAAAAAGGATCTTAAAAGAAGAAAAAGTGATAATCGTTCGATCAAAAGTTATCTGTTTGATTTAGTTTTATATGA